AACGCATGCTGGCCCCAAAGACACCAAGAATAAAACACTTCAGAAGATTCACGGGGAAAACATTTACTTTAACAAAGCAAAACCACAAGAAGGATTGTCGCGGGCAGGCTGGCAGCAGCGACACTGTTTCAAGTTATACATTCAATCAATTGTATAACATCTATTACCTGGTATTTAAGTCATTAACAGGTCTCTAATTTCCATTTACCTGATTTGGGGGCCAAAACGGTATGACTTAAATGTAACAGCTTCCAGAGAACAGGGTTGTGCTCCTAAAAGGTGGCACAGCATCATCAGAACATGATTCTGGAGCCAAACTGACTAAACTGCAATCTCTTATTACACTGCAGGATGTTGGAGAAGTTGCTAACTTCTCTGTGCTTGGGTTTCCACATCTGTAAAATGGGAGTCACAGTGCATACCTCCCAGAGTTGTCACGAGAGTTCAGTGGGTGATATACATGTGCAACACTGAATGCCCTGGACATGGGAAACTCCCACTGTGAGGCAGTAGTTGAGATTCCAATAACACCTGGACAGCAAGCCTTCCTGGCCGGTTGTCCTGCTTCAGAAGGGTTTTCATCTGCTCAAACCCCACCCACCAGGTCCGTCATGCAACTGCCACCTCAAGAGAACCAGTGGGTGACTGCCAGTATGTACCCACCCACAAGTCACTACTAGAATAAAGAATGATACTCACAGATCATTTGGACAGCTAGATATTAAACAGAACACAGCAGGAAAAAAAGAGGGAAGAACATCACAACTTACTGCTGATGGGGTTACCCTCAGGTGCTGTGGGATGAGGGGAAGACTTTCACAATTCATTCTACGCATATCTGTATTTTTCTCTGACTTGTTGACAACATCATGTATTTCCTTTGTACATTTGCTTTAAAATGAAAACAATCACTGGTCAGGTCCATTTCAATTAATTTCTATTAATCATTTTAATCCATGCAACTCACTGGCTAAGGCTCTTACAAAACAAAATGACTAGAGCCACTGATTACGCCCTCTCAGTGAGTGAAATGAAGAGGGAACCTCAAATTGCATTAGGAACACACGTGGAGATTCCAAACCCTTCCTCTCAAGGAGTAAGTCACTACTCCTCTCTCTTCCAGATGGCAAGCGACACTCCAACAAAACCCACATATTTAAAACAAGTGCAGAAGTGTTTATTGTACATCCCTTTCCAAAACAGCTGCTCAAGAGAATGTACTCGTGCAGCAAGAAGGAAATTGGAACGTATGTCCGGCTAATGAAATCTTCACGAGCCGAGCACCGCGCCGACTTCACACTGGGAGCTGCCAGCTGCTGCCTAAATACTATTTTCAGCATCTTCTGAAGGCTAGTAGTTACTCAAATAGATTTTTAAAAGAAAATGAATGCAAAATATTGTAATTATTAGAAGATTATTATAATCAGGCATTCTGTTCTCTCCTGTGAGGCGTGGAACAAAGTGGCTGTGACTACTACAAAGGGCACCAAGTGTCTTCCTCATTACTTACTCACCATCCGGAGGCCACGCTCAGTTACAGGACAGAGGCTCTGCCCTGTGTGCTTTCCAAGTCTAGCTCTCACCTGGAATCTCTGGAGCAAGTACTACAGGGCTTCTCATTATCTCATCCACAGCATCAGAGAAGCACAGAGAACAGATGATCAATGGACCCCTTCACCTTCTCAAATGCCCCAAGTTTGCCTTCAGGAAAAGACAGTATTTAATCAAAGTTCCACGGTAATTTAGAATTACTAGTTCCCTTTCCCTCTTTCTAGGACAGGTACGTGAAATTTTACTTTACAAAATTACAGGGTAGAGGAAACAGAAAGAATGTATTGGTCTTCCCCTAACTGGCCTGAAGTCATGTGTAAAAACGGTTCACTATTCACTTGACCCAGAAAACGCCATACAATCATGCACATCCAAGAGGTTTAAATCTTCATGTTCACTTTACGAACACTTGTGAGACTTTCCAGGCCATCAAGATCACATATATGAAAAGCCACTAGGTAACTGAAAGATGTCACTTTACAGAAATGGTGGGCACCATTCTGATGTTACAATGGTACAGCCATTAAGTGTGCCCAGGCAAAACAGCAGGGCTGGACACAGGTGAGTTTTTGCTGCACATGCTTTAAAGTAATGCTGGACTTAAGGGCTTAGCTATAGATTCTCTGGCCATTGAGCATTTCCAGGTGAACAAGTCACCTAAGATGCACCATCAGACTTACAGAGCTCATGGCTGGACTAACCCAACCACGGGCTCTCCCAACCACATTGAAATGATCATTACTGAAAAGGAACAACTCGTTCTTAAATCAGAAGAAGAGGTTGCACAGAAGAAAAAGACATCCCAGAAGAAACTGAAGAAACAAAAACTTATGGCACAGGAATAAATTCAGAATAAAATAAATGCAATCAAAAGTTAAGAAAAATAAAGAATCTGCTTGCAAAATCTACTCCTAAAGGTCCCTCTGCTGTATATCCTCAAAAAAAAAAAAAAAATTCACTTCTGATTATCCACTTGAAGAGAATTACTTCACTCTGAAGGCAGCACATGATTTTAACATCCATACGCTATGCTTCCTTCTCCTACTAGTCTAATGTTAGCTCGGTGTGGTCACCACACCTTCCGAAATACACTGCTCATCAGTCCATCAACAGTCCCCAAGGTGCTCATCAGCATTCATCATGACCCATCTTTTTTATTGCACAAACAGCATAATGCAAGTACAAGAATCCAGGTTAGCAACTTATAGTCTCTCAAAATAAAAACAGGGAAACACCGATTTGCATTTAAAGCCTGACAAATTAATATTAATTTCTCACCCCTAAGAACATGATCAGCTGCAATATACACTCCTCTGTGGATGTAAGGCAAACGACCTTGTAAAACTCATTTTACAAGGTTCCCAACTTCTATAACAAACGTTTCCAAACTGACATGAATATCATTGCCCTACGCTTAGCATCTTTAAAACACCTTTACAAATTATCCCATTTCAAAACCTGAAAAATCTCACAAATGAAATAAACCTGGGAAATTATTTCCTCCAATTGGCCAACATATGCGTAAATCCTTTGTTTTGATCTTTATAACCATTTTAAAGATTAGTCAAATGGGAATTATTATTTCCAGTTTATGGAATCGGAAACTGAAGTTTGGCTGAGTAAAGTGACATATCACCTACAATAAATGGTAAATGAAGATCTCTTATGTGTACTATGTCAAAAATAAAGTCACCTAAAGAAAAACTTAAGCATGGCACCAATACTTGGGAAAACTGTTTCAAATATACTGATTAACTGGTGTTTTTATTAAAATATTCCTTTATTTATGCAGCACATCTATGTATTTTTAAAGAAATTACATCAAGCCAGATTTTACATCAAATTCTTTTCTTAAATATTAAGAGACTGCTCCACAGCATTCCTCACTCCCCTAAAACTGTAAGACTACTCAAGCACAGGGCGGGAGGCAGATGAAGTCAGCCCAGCCACTCTGGGTGTGGTGATGCCACAGCATAGAGGACTCCTAGGCCCCACCAGCACTTAGGGCATCTCCCTAGAGGTGGGGTATCTTCCTCAAAGAAAACCTCCACCCCACAACGCCACCAAATCCGAGCAGAAGACCTCCTCTGGCCATCTTCCTGGTGACTATTTTTAGGTAGTTGGACGCTGGGCAAAGTCTGGCACCCTGGCAACAAGATGCCCCTGCTGGCAGAGTGACAGAATCCAGCTGTGCCACTGACAGCCACTTTCAGTGTGACCAGTGCTAAGCAAAGGTGGGGAGGAGAGGGCAGCTCCCACAGGGCAAACATGCATGCACAGTTGACAGGACACACACGTCATCTCATCCATTCCTTGTACTATGGAGGTAGAGTGTCCACTCTAAAGATGGAGAAGCTAAGGATCTGAGAACCCAGTAACTCCTTCCAAAGCCTGGGCCCACGGCACTATGGAAACGGAGAAGCAGCACCACTGTGCCAGGGTTATGTGATAGAAAACGAGGGCACACCATACTTCTGTGGGCTTCAGCACGCAGGTAGCTGCAACAGGCTGTGTAACCTCCCACCGCTACAAAGACGCTTTCCTGCTCTCCTACGGAGAAGCTGTAAATCTGCCAATGTTGTGACCTGCATTACACTATCTCTTCATAAACACAAAATGTCCTTATCTTAAGGGTTACCTATATCCAAACTTCAAGGAAACAAACTGCCTTCATTTTTTTATTAGTCATGCAGACACTGGGTCAACTACAAAAGAGTTTCGAAACGCATTATGCTAAGAAAAGACCATCAGTGGTACAGGCTCAATTCTATCTGCCAAAAACATAGATGGAAATCCTGAACCCCCACCCTCCCAAAATTTAGAACACGACCTTATCGGGAAATAGGGTCATTGCAGATGTAATAACTTAAGGTGACGTCATGATGGAATAGGCAGGGCCCTTCATCTAACATGACTGGTTTCCTATGAGGAGAGAAAAATATGGACATAGACGCAAAGAGAAAACACCAGTGAGAGAGGCAGATGCTGAGGTTAGACGGCTGCAAGTCAGGAACGGCAAGGGTGGACCGCCACCCCAGAAGCTAGGGAGTGGCCTGGGGAGCACTTCCCCACTCACATCTTGACTGTGGACTTCTAGCCCCAGGCTCTGAGAGAATACACTTTTGTCGTTTAAAGCCACCCAGTTCCTGCTATTAAATACTTTGTCATGGTAGTCCCGGGAGAAAACTCACACAGAGAGCTAATGTTCTGCTCTACCTAAAGCCCCTTCTGAGACGGAAAGCCTGAAGACTGAGGTCCTTCTCCACTGCAACCAAACAGAAGGGATCCCATCGCACCTAGTTTATTAACAAAGGCAAGAGATCACCGCAGCACAGAAAGCAGAGTGCAAGGCCTAGTGACGACTGGGAGCCAGGCCTTCCAAACTCCAGGCAGAAGAGGCAAGAAACCATCCCACGGAGAAACAGCTTAACTTTTTTTTTTTTTGAGTGGGGGGGGAAGCTGGAACACAGTCCCCCACTACCATAAATTATGCAGTCGAGTTTCCCACATTTGGGGAAATCACAGGATTCAGAATACCCAGAGTGCAACAGATAAGCCTCGCCCTGGAAAAACCACCTTCATGATCATGGTACTCCCCTGCCAGGTAAGTATGAGATAACTTATCTTAATAAACACTATTAACGGTAAAATTACTGAAAACTGACTACAAATACACATTCCAGTCAAACTAGTCATTTTGCATGCTCAACAACGAAATCAGTCTACTCCAGACAGTCAGCTCCAGATGGACCTGCAGCAACCTCAAGGATCAATAACAGTAAGTAACCTTGAAAACTACAAATGGACCAAAACACATAAGGTATTAAAAATGAATTCTCTCATTAGTCTTAGGTGACTTCAGTCATCAAGCAGCTATAAAGGAGCACCACCTGAATTCCAACCAGAAAGAACGTTTTTGTACATGCACATCCAGGTTCAAAATAAAGGGTGCCAAATGCCCTAACCATGGAGAAATCACTAATAAAACCACACCAAATTTTTAAGTCCAAACATCTGAGAGGTATGTGTGTGTGTGTGTGTGTACACACACACACACACACACACACACACACATATCGGGGGGATGGAGGAAAGCTTGATCAAACAGAAAGTTTCTAATTTCACATATGGTGGTAACGTTGGCTCAATATACGACTCAGAAAAGCAATGACAAAACACTTAAACAGCTGCTAAAATATCAACTCTTCTTCCCTTTTTTTTTTTTTTTTTAAGACAGGGTCTCACTCTGTCACCCAGGCTGGAGGCTGGGGTGCAGTAGCACAATCACAACTCACTGCAGCCTCAATATCCCAAGCTCAAATAATCCTCCCGCCTCAGCCTCCCGACTAGTTAGGACTACAGGCATACACCACCACACTAATTTTCATAGTTTTTTGGAGACATGGGGTCACCCATGTTGCCCAGCTGGTCTCGAACTCTCAGCCTCAAACAATGTTCCCATATCAGCCTCCCAGAGTGCTGGTATTACAAGTGTGAGCCATCACGCCCAGCCTCCTTCTTTCAATTCATTTTCTGATTGGCCTCGGTTCTGTCTGAGCACTAAAGGAGTAAAGTCACCCAAAAAGAACAAGCACCTGGCTAGAAGACCCGTTGCCAGGTGTACGGCTGTCATACACATTGCTTCCTTTAGGTAACTGTTAACTGACAATTTTCTAGTGGGTAAAACTAGACTTTACCCACCATACATAAAAGATTAAGACAAACCTCTGTGTATTTTCAGTCCATCTAACATTTCAAAGGCAAGAGATTAAAACCACCACCTGAGCCACCAGTCCCTGGGGCATGGTACAACAAACCCTCCAGGTTGGCTGAGGCTGTTCTCAAAGTACCATCAGAATTAAATACTTCCGCGTGTGTGTGTGTGCGCGCGCGCACGCACATACACATTTGTTTATAGAGGTTTATAGCAGTCCTAATATCTGTGTTAATTAATATCACTATCTTTGGTGAGGGGATTTTAAAGGGTTGTTGTATAGTTAAACAATTTATACTCAATATATTCATCAACTGAAGAGTGGTGAACGTTTTTCAGTCAAAAGCTGACATATGTATATGTCATAATGAAATTTTTTCTTAAAAACTCACATAAACATTTTTAGATTTCTTCGGTGCTAGATAATGTTTTGACTTTTAGACAGACTGTATTTCAGATGACATGCTTGCCTAATTTTATTCTTGAATATGGATAGCCTTTTTATACAAGCATATATCAAAGTGTAACTAGATTACAAAGTGACTAGAGTTTTCTCCTGGTTCCACTCACAATGAGAACTTCACAGGCACTCATTTGTAACTGCTTTAACATTGTGAGGTCTTTATTTGGAGAATGTATTAGCACTTTAAACACACAAGCAAGGCTTTTTTTGTATAGTGATACGTATGGAAAGTGGAATAGATAAGGTATACAAAAGAAGAAAATTTGGCCAGCAAGAACGTCATCAATGCCGAGTGAAATGTTCAACACTGTGGGCCAGGCAGAAAATGCTGTCAGTATCTAACATTCAGTAAGCACTTACTATATGCATTAAGCACTGTTCTGAGACTTGACATGTATTAATTCTGAGCTCAAAACAAGCCTACGATATAGTAATATCTTCCACAGAGCTGTTCCTGATTTTTTTTTTAAGATAGTCTGGCTCTGTTACCCAGACTGGAGTGCAGTGGTGAGATCTCAGCTCCCTGCAACCTCCGCCTTCCAGGCTCAAGCTACCCTCCACCTCAGCCTCAGTCTCACCATGTTGCCCAGGCTAGTCTTGAACTCCCAGACTCAAGCGATCTACCCACTTCCCAAAGTGCTGGGATTACAGGCATGAACCAGCATGTCCCAGTTTGTTCCTGATCTTTGTACCCAGAGTAAGCACTATTTATTGTACAGCGTTTTAGAGTTAATACCTTGGCCAAGTTAACTGGCCTATGGCAGGGCTAGGGACTTGGGCTCCAAAAGGGAGCACCACGCCAATGTTGACCTTGCTATAAAGTGCTGGTGAGTCCCATGATCCCAGGTGACGTTGTAGGAAGGGGAGTTTGAAAAAGCACTCTTCTGACTTAAAATACCACACACATCCTTTATGGGAGTAATTTCAGGCTTAATGAGACGGAGCGTCTTTTTAAATCCCATCATTACAAGCATCACTGTGGCGCATTAATACCAGGACTAACTTTTTACCTGGTCACAGTCACATTGTGTTGGAGAAGTGCAAGTAATCCGTTTTAAAATATTTTTAGGTGACAAGTGAGACTGGTCCCCAGCTGGTCAGTGTGCCCAGAATACTGATAAGAGGTATACCTTGAGCTCAGATGGGTCGGTTGTGTGGATATATTAGCAGTAGTTTTGTTTTTTAAGTTGGGCAATATTCCTGGGTGAGGAAGAAAAAAATATTTTGTTTGTTCACTTGTTTGTGTGTTTAAGATGCAGTAGGGCTAGGAAGAAATAAAAATATCTAGACTACTTGTAAAATCTTTTTAATTGTGGTGAAGTATACACAACAAAATTTCCCATCTTAACCATTTCCAAGTGTGCAGTTAAGCAGCATTAGTGCATTCACACTGCATCATCAGTCACTCCTGTAACTTTTTATCTTGTAAAACTGGAACTCTGTGCCACATTAACAGTAATTCCATACCTCCCCTTGCCCCAGCCCCTGGCAGGCCCCTTTCTACTCTCCATCTCTATGAATTTTTGACTCCTCGAGGGACCTCTTGCAAGTGGAATCACACAATGTTTGTCCTTTTGTGGTGAGTGTATTTCGCTTTGCATCATGTCCTCAAGGTTCATCCATGTTACAGCATGTGTCAGAATTCTTTCCTTTTTGAAGCTGGAATATTCCTTCTCATGTGTCTTCCATGCACTTTCTTTATTCACTCATGTGTTGATGAAAGCTTAGGTCGCTTCCGTTTTTGGCTCCTGTGAATAGTGCTGCCACGAACGTGGGTATACAAATATCTCCTTGAGACCCTCCTTTCAATTCTTTTGGGTATATACGCAGAAGAGGAATTGCTGGATCTTGTGGTAATTCCATGTTTAATTTTTTTGAGGAATCACTATATTGTTTTCCATAGCAGCTGCACCATTCCACATTCCTACCGTCAGCACACAAGGGTTCCCATTTCTCCACATACCTGTCAGCACTTGTGATTTTGGCTTTTTGTTTTTGTTCTTAAAGACAAGGTCTTGCTCTGCCACCCATGCTGGAGTGCAGTGATACAGTAACAGCTCACTGAAGCCTCAAACTCCTGGGCTCAAGTGATCCCCTTCCTTAGCCTCTTGGGTAGACAGGACTACAGGCATGTGCCACCACATCTGGCTAACTTTTTTCTTTTTTAACTTTTTGAAGACATAGGGTCCCACTATGCCAGGTCCAAGCTGGTCTTAAACTCCTGGCCTCAAGTGAGCCTCCCACCTCAGCATCCCAAAGGGCTGGGATGGCAAGTATGAGCCAGCACAACCTGGCTTCTTTTCTGGATTTTTAAAAATTATTTAAAATTACATCTGTCTTAGTCACAATTAACTATAATGTAAGGTAAACCAATTCATTTTCTATTTGGTCTTGAAAAGAGGTCCTAATATCTATGTTAATTAATATTACTATAAGGCGCCTAAGTAAGGTTTTTGGAGAATCTGCCCAAGTAGGCTTATGAAGTGAAAAGGCTCAGGAATAAGGGTTTAAACATAGCTTTAAGGGTTTTATCATTTGCAGTATTATGAATGTTTGAAAGCAATGTACATAACAGTGTTTATCTGGACCAAGCTCAGAGATGGCTTAATACAATGCCAACAAGTTAGGATTGTCTATAGTCTGGGCATTAACATCCCCTGGCTACAACAGATGATTCCAGTGTAAGGGCAAGACTGAGCTGGCACCAGATAATATAAGCAAATATAATGAAAAGTGTTAAAGCTCTGTTAATAAGATCAGCCAGACAAAAAAATTATCTCATAAAGTATGTATTTGACCTCTACCACCATACAGAATCTGTTAAACATTTCAGAGTATAGTTTTATTCTAATTATAATTTGCAGTTTAATCTCTCAAGTACAATAGTCTGAGAAGATAACAATTACTTATTAGCCACGCAGGTCACAGATTTTGGCTTTCTAAGAAGAAACAAGAGCCCTCATGCAGACCCCTGGTACAGTCGCAACCGGTGGAGATACTACAGAAATAAATTTTTAAATTATTAAATAGCTTCTAAATACATAGACACACACACACACACACACACACACACACACACACTCTTACATTATTTATTAGTAATCTGATTTTTAAAAGCCAATTCAGAATGTCAGAAAATGTAACCTAGCACTTGGAACTAACTGAACAGGTATTTGAAGACAGATGACTGATAGAAACCTCAATGCTAGAATGGTAGGTTTCTGTTTTTTTAAATATTTTATGATATTCTACAAGAACTTCCAAAACATACTGACCTGTTTTGATGAAGATAGTTCTGGTTCGGTTTTACATTTAAGTCATATTTAGATATTTAACATCTTCATAAAGAATTTTTATAATTTTTTATTTTGATTTTTGTAGACACAGGGGTTCACCGTGGTGTCCCGGCTGGTCTCAAACTCCTGGTCTCATGCA